ATGCCAAATTTCATTATGATAGACCGATTTAACAAGAAGTTATAGCCATAAATATATTTGCTGATGCAGCGCTGCTGCAGTGCTGCTCAAGCGCTGCCCGCGGCTGTTGTTGATGTTGCTGTTTGGTTGACTGCGAAAATGCTTACACAGACAGGAATAGATGCGCATAGGCATACATACACTCACACAGACGCAATTGCTATGTAAATGTGCAATTATACACCCTTTACGTGAGTTCGAATACCGAGAGAGGTAAAATCGATCAAATTTTTTTTTTTATTTTCTTAATTTTTTTATTTTCTATAATTATTGTACACATATGTACAGAGTATTTCAAAGTCGGGACACCCGACTTTAGCTTTTTTACTTGTTTTGTTTTTGTTTGCACTCTTTTGATATTTTTATAAACAAATTGCTGTCACGCTAAAAAATGCATTTGATCTAGCCGTTGGCCACTTTAAGACACAACTATTGGCGACTGGCATTTAAGATACTTATTTGCAAATACCCTTACTGTTGGGGAGTAGTTAAATTGTTGTGAAACAAAGCGGAAGCAGGTATATTTTTAATTTGTTAAAAAATCCTAATACGTCTTTGGTTTAATAAATTAAATTGGAATCAATGAATAAATTGATTATTATTTTTGGTAAAGCAAGTTTCTAATTAACAGTCCATGTGAATGAAATATTTGTATAAACTAGGAATCAGACAAGTCAAATAATTGCCAATCTATCTCTATTTAATTAAAACGGTCTTGTACATGCTTTCTGGTTTAACGAGACTGCGTATTATTTCTGCATTTTGTTACAACTATCCTTAAAGAATACCCCTCATGGATTGTGCTGCACTGTTATCTTTATAATTTCGTTTTGTAAAGCTACAATAACTTATTGAAAACGAAAATAAACTTTTATTTAACAGAAGAAGCCACAAAAGGCACAAAAATAAAATAAGGATAAAGGATAGATGTTACTCGTATTTGTTGAAGTCTTTGAAAACAGTCTTTATTTTTCTCTCAACAAGCAGTGTTGGATTCATAATTCGTACTAAAAGCACTTGACAATTAGTCTTTTCTGAAAAGTTCAATCAGCTTTTCAGCTTTCTTTCCTTTGTAAAGCCAAATAATTTGTTCAAAAGAGCATAAAAAGAATATTTTAATAGCCAAATATTCGAACACAAAAATTCAATAACTATAACATATAGCTTTAAACCACAAAGGGCTGGCTTTTGACATGTAGCTATGAATAGTCATGATATATTTACAATAATACCTCTATGGTGTCTGGGATATCTTACAATGTTACTCCTGTCTCCTCAACACAGTTGTATGGAAATCACTCGTCATTTGTGTTTATCTTAGAGAGTACATTAGCTTCGATATTTAGTGGAAGTGGTGTTATTCTATTATGTTCCATATGATGTCATGCGTTAAGTTTGAGGCCACCGGGCAAGTCGAGATCAAAGGCTGCCAGATTGCGGCAATTGTGAGTGGCATGTGGCATGTGCTACAAATGTAGCTACTAATTTTGCATTGCTGTATTGCTAATTGAATTATTTATAAACAAAGTGCACCAGCATCAACAACAACTACAACAGCAGCTACAACAGCAACTACAACAACATGCAACGATGCTTATCCAAGTCAAGTCAGTCAGTCAAAGAGCCAAAGTGGCCTAACGATTTTACAACCATTTTTGGGCGCCCATTTGCATACGCGTCGCCATCGACATCGCCAGCGTCTGGGTCTGGGTCTATGACTCTGCATCTCTCTCTCTCTCTCTCTCTCATCCACTCTCTTTAGTTGTTGTTGTTGTTGGTGTTTTTGTTTCTTTTTGCTCTCCAAATTATGTCGTTATTTGTGCCATTTTTGGCCAGCACCGAACCCAGTGATGGCCTATGATAAATTCCATGCACTTAACCAGTCATTTGCCTGACGTTCGCTGCGTCTGTCAAGAGTATGTCAATTGGCTTGCTAATGGCTGCCATGCATCAGTCAGTCAGCCAGAGAGTGGTGTCTTTAAGTGTTCGCTAACGAGTCTTGGCGAATGCATTTATCATAAAGGCCAACACCAACTAATGCTCATCATTTACACAGGCGGCGAGCGTTTGGGGCGCTTATTTCAATAAAACCGCAAGCGACATTAGCCAATTAATTTAGCTAGTCTCGAAAAATATGAGATATAAAATGGGAAGAAAACAACACAATATACTCGTAGCAACAAAGTCTGCAATGCGCTCGAGGAAATGCAGAAATGCTAGGAAGCAGCCAAACGCAACAATTGAATAGATAATAACTCACGCCCCACCTACCCACCCACCCAACTCTGGCCACAGGCTCGTACAGTAATATTTCTTTACAGTAGACATAATCGAAAGTATTTGGATGTGAGCTGAGGAAATAAATTTCCTTCCCAAAAGAAGACCAATTTGTGTAATGAGTGTACGTCCATCTGATCGTTTGTCCGTCTGTATGAACTTCGATTACTTTATAGACATAACAGCTAGAAGGAACAACCTTGGCACGTTGTTTAATTACGTTAGTTTATAACCATTCCTTAAACCAATTTCCACTTCATCGTAAACCTTTCTAAAATATCTGAACCATTTACTTGTGGTGTGTATTATATCGATCGGTTTATTAAGTCCACTGAAAAGGAGAGAGTGGTGCTCTTAAACGACTATCTCTTGCTGGGAAATTAATTGTGGCCCCACAGCCAACTATCTCATATATCTCCCAGAGTTAATTCGCTACAAAAAGGTTCGACTGTAATACAGCCAAGAAACACAACAAGGTCTGTAACTGTTTGTTGCTGCTGCTGGAGCTGCTGGGGCTGCCGAGGCTGCCGAGGCTGCTGCATCTGCGGCGGCTGTCATATTCAAATTGCTAATATGATTGGTGTTTACAGATTAGAAAACAAATATTTCACAAATATTACCACTAATAATTTTGCCATGTAAACATGGAGTGAGGCGCACGACTGCGGCATCATGTTGCACTTGAAGTTGAGGCTAGCATTGGCTCGGGCTTATGATGATGATGAGGCTGTAAAAATGTTGCAAGTGTGGCGATAACCTTTTGACTTTGGGGCTGCCTTGCCACAGCTTGCCTCTCCCAATGCCCAAGCGATGGCAGACTCGGCTGTTTTGTGCGAGTGCAAAACTGACAAATTGAATGAATAAAAGAGCAACAAGTGGTCGCTCGCTCGCTTAGCCAAACAGACAGATGGACAGACAGATGGACAGACAGATGGACAGACAGATGGACAGACAGAGAGACACACAGACATACAGACTGACAGACCGTGCATAGTTAAACATTTTGAATGAAAACGCCAGCAGTGAAACGCTGTCCAAGAGCAGAGACCAGAAAGCAAAAAGCAAAATGCAGCGACTGTGAATGCGATCGAGACTGTGTGGACAGTGTGGACGACTGTGGTGGAGCGAGGCGTGTTTTGACTGCGCGCAGGCGCAAAAACATAAATCGAAACACTTGCTGCGTTTGCACTGAGCGCTCCCCCCACCCCCAGCCGCAGCCCCCTGTGGCAGGTTACATTTGTGTTTGGTAGGTGTTGCCGGGCTGCGCACAATGCAACGAATGGGCCAAAGACGGGGCAACCAAACGACGCACGAGTACGTCCAGGTCGCTTGGAAATGAAGTCGAAAATTGCAATTCCAAAATGCTTGCCCTCGGCTTAAGTTTGGCGTAGTTGAGCTGCGCTGTGCTGGGTTGTGTTGTGTTATGCCGTGGAGTCGTCTTTTGGTCAGTTGTGGTTTCATCATTGTGGCATCTATTGGTTGTGGTGGACGAGGCGGCCACATGTGGCCATGCATTGTGTGTCGTTTAATGCGTGGCCGCCTCGCTTGGCGCTTTTTATTAATTCACTCGAAGCTTGTTTAATTTTTTTCTTTAGTGGCTCTTTAGTTGCGGGTGCTCGCTGGCACATACTGGGCACATACTCGTAAACATAAATCGGCCCGCGGTGTCGGTACGCGCGCACATTTCCCACGGACTAGTACATAAATAAAGAAGGTCATGTTAGTCAGAAACCTAACTAGATATTCCACTACCTCTACATCTTTTGGCCTTTGCTAAAGGCTCGACTTCTAACTGTCAGATACCGAAACTCTCCACGCAGACAAAAATTGCTTTATTAGCTAAATAAACCAATTTTCGCACAACTCTAACAACTTCATTTGGTGGAGCCTTGAAGGCGTCATTCCCATTTGCCATTTCGCATTTCCTTTAGCTCATTAACACTTTGTTGCTGTGGTTGTTGTTGTTTTTGTGCCTTCAGTTGGTTGGTGGAACACACGCAGCGTTTCTCACGCTGCCCCAACACAGAGCGTATAAAATTTAAGATTAGCAAGACAAAAGAATTGCAGAAGGGTCCATTAATGATAATGCTCACAAAAATAATAAGAACTTCGAGGGAAGCAACGGAAAGGATGCAGCAAACCAACAAACTGATAAGCTAAGATATGTCGACGAAGGGAGGGGGAGGGCGGCGCATCACCAGTTGGTCCCATCGATAAACGCATGTTAAGCGTGTCTGAAAGTTGGAGATGCGATCGTGAGCGAAAACTACACCTCAGATCTGTAAGTGCACTTCCAAACTGTCTTACAAAATTGTAGATCATCGTTTGAAGAGGGAGCTGAAGAGAATCTTTGACGGATAGGATTGCCACGAAAATGTCATTTGTTGGAAAAGAATGAAATGTACACTATTTATCTGACTAAAGCAAAGTTTCTTTATTTCAATTATTTTGAACTATTGGTTTGAGAGGACAATCCTGGCACGGAAACCATCTCGGTAATACTCAGCTATAAACGAGGTGAGATGAGGTTAGGATCCAAAGACTCCCTAGCTTGTCTAAGTAAAGATCTGCATAGCTCTTTCCTTAACGATGATCAACATCAGTTTAAACAGACTCAGCTGTTACTGTGTATTATGTGTATCCCTTCATATTATAATCCCTCCCTAAAGCTTAAAGAGTTTCGATGGATTACTATTGATTTTTTAATGATTTTTCAGATATTACTACTTGGTCCTCTTGTTAAAGGCTCTCCTTGTCTCGGGCACTTTCGTTTGAATAATCGCAACCGCTTTTTCAATTCTTCGCAATCACGCATTACTTCATGCAACCATCATTAAGTTTGAGAGGATCTTGTCCTGTAACTGCCTTTTGGCATCGCGATAAGCGCGACTTTTGCCTCGGTACGTGCTAAACCCTTGACTGTGATCATTTTAATTATAGGCTTCAGTGAAGCGACGCTGGTTGGGGTCAAGCAACGAAAATTGCCGGCTCTCGGTCTGCACGATGTGCGGGAGATGCCGATGTTTGTTTTTGCGAGCCATAAATACTTAATTTGGACATCGCGTCACATAGTGGGAAGTTGTTTTGAGCGCAGGGCCCCTAAGCGGTTACTTATGGGATGATGAAGTCATTTCGAGCGCAATTGCTGCAATTACCGAACAAATCGATTTTGCATTTTATTCAAAGTGATCCCGAAAAAGAAACTGTAATGTGGCCAGGTGGATGAAGGTTGCGAAAACATGATGATGCATACAACACGCTATAGCTATGTATGTATAGCTATGGGTTACAATTCTCTCTCAGTCGCCTTCGTTATCCGAGCCCTGGCGCGTGGCGTCGCCGGAGGCATCCACCTCAAGATAATCATGTACCAGCTGACATATATTCTCGGACGCCTCGCTGAAGTTGCCCTCCTCGAGACCCTCGCCCACATAGTGATAGACGAAGGCGCGCCTCTGGTACAGCTTGTCGAACTTGTTGACCAGACGACACCAGGCGATGCGTATGTTGGTATTGTTCGAGATGGCGACGCAGGCGCGACTTGTGGGCGCCAGATCGCCGCTGGGCACGTACACCGGCGGCATGTGGGACACGCCTATTTTGAAGCCTGTCGGCGACCAATCGACGAAACGAAAGGCCTTGGCCCGTCTGATACTCTCCAGTGCCGTGTTGATCTCGTTCGGTGCAATTTCGCCGCGATAGAGCAACACGCAGGCCATGTACTTGCCGTGTGCGGGATTGCAGCGCACCATTTGATTGCTCATTTGGAAACACTGGCCGGTCAACTGGGCCGTCGACATATTGACGTACATGGAGTGTGTGATGGGTACGAGGGGCGCGTAATTGATGAGCGGGTAGTGGATGCGTGGATAGGGCACCAGGTTTGTTTGCAGCTCCTGGAAGCTAACATTTGGATGGCCCGAGAAGCGCTGCGTGGCGGTGAAGCCGGACACCACTTGACCGATAATACGATTCAGATTTGTATAGGTGGGCGCAGGTACATTCAGAGTATTGGCGCAAATATCGTACAACGCTTCGTTATCCACAATAAACGAGACATCGGCGCAGTCCATCGAGAAGTGCGTGGCTAGCAGTGCATTGTAGGGCTCCACAATTACCGGTGAAATGCTGAACATTAAAGTATTAGCTTCTGGAGTAGCCCAGAAAATGGTGAAAATATACATACGAGGGCGAGGGGTAGACGAGAAACTCAATGACCGTAATCTTGCGTCCAAATTCCTCCACTAGCTTTTCCATAATGCGAGTCCCCAAGCCGGAACCAGTGCCCCCGCCTATAGCCCGAATGACGAGAAAGCCGCGCAGACTGCGACAGCGATCGGCCACGCGGCGTATGGCATTCATGGCCCGCTCCAGCAGCTCACTGGCCATCAGGTTATAGCCGCGAGCAAAATTACTGCCACTATCGTCCTTGCCAGATATTAGAGTGTCCGGGTGGAAGAGATTACGATACGCACCCGTGCGTATCTCATCTGTAAGTTGGTGGATAGTTGGTTTAAATTTCAGTGACTTCCACTGTTGCTCTAACCACCCACCTATAACTGTCGGTTCCGTGTCAATCATTACGAGACGCGGCTGCACGCACGATTGCTGACTCGTGAACTCAAAGAACGTGAGGAAGGAGTCATCGCAGGGCTTCTGCATAAGTCTGCCGTCCGCCAGTATGCCATGTTCGAGGCAATACAACTCCCAGCAAGCATTTGCTATCTGTACACCCGCCTGGCCAATGTGAATCTGTATGATCTCGCCTCTCCCGGCCATGTAGCGCCGGCCTTGGCTTGCTCAACGAACACTGCACGGCAGCAGTTCGACATCTACGTGGATGTGCTTTTCCACTTACAATTTTTGGTATTAATGCCGAAAGTTAAATATATATATATACATACAGAAAGTTCAATCAATTTTGTTCATATATTTTTGAAATATTACAGCAAACGCCATTTTTTGTATGCTTGTTTGTTGACAGATTAACAATTCTTATTTGGGGCCAGCTATAAAGTTTGTCTTCTATATGGTCTTTTATCGGTTAATTACGTAGACACTTTACAAACATCAATTATTGTCCGTAAACGGATTATGTCGTCAGTTTTGCAAGCGTTAGATACAGTTCAATATACATAGATACAATTGCGTTTTAGTGCATAAATACGTAGTATAAATATAATGAAAATGAAGTGCCAAACAGCTGTAAATAAATATACATATAAATACAATATAATATTCCGGCACACTTGCAATTATTTTTACCAAACCTAAATGGAGAAAAAGTGCAATTAATTGTCCTAACTATGCTCACAAATGGGTGCGATAAGTACTTATATCTTTTTCATCTAGATATCTTGCAGTGTAGGGAGCATTTTCTAAATCTATATGTAGATTTAAAAAGTAATTTCTTTTCAAGCTAAAATGTAGTTTATTCAATAACTTTGGTTAGTTTGTTGCCGTTAGTGCTGTATGAATAGGAATGTAAGACACTAAGCATATAAGATCTGTGCTTTGATAATCTACTTGGAAATACTTTTGAATGTGTATAATACAAAGCAGTCGCGAATTCAGTTAAATTTCTCATAAATAATTTACAAACATATCGTATTGTATATAAAGAGATGTATACACGGAAAACCCTTTATCTCCTTACCCTTACACAAAAAATACTTTTGGGATGCCGGACTAGAAATGTTTCGATATTTGTTTACTTTAAAACCTATTACGAGGAACGCTTTACGTGTGTCTATCTGGGCTTTAGAGCAAGGATTGTTCTAGCAATATGCGTTCGAAACCTGATGGTGGGCCGTATGTGAAATTGTCTAGAATAATGTCCAAAATGGCGCCATTTCCAACTGCAAAGAGCAAAAGGTAAGCCTCAAACAGGCAATAGGACTTTCAATTTCTTACCGTAAATAACTGGAAACACAGCGGCGCCTTTCACATTTCTGAACGGCACCTCCAGGTTCTTGCCATTGAAATAGAAATTCAATTCGACATGATCGAAGGCCACGCCCACAATGTCGCCCTCGTCGGGAAAGCTGCGCTGTGGTGCCGATAGGAGAGCATCACTGAGGTCGCCAGATTCAGGCGCTGGATTGCTGCTGCCGGTGGTCATCAATAGGTCCTCCTGTAGATCCTCTATGGCAATAAGACCGGCTGCAGCCGCAGCACTATTGTTCAGAATACCATTGGCGCTGGTGGTAATGGCTGATGTTGATTTACCGGCCGGCGGTTGCGTGCAGGGTGCCACCACTGGACGATGCTCCTCATCATTGTGGCGTGTGGCATTGTCCGACGACAGACACCAGGACTCCCGGTCGCTGCCTCCTACTTTGTGCGCTAAATCAGCCTGACGCGTGGCCAGACCAATGGACCAGCTACCGCTCTGTTGGATTTTCACCTCGAAATATGATTTCGATTGCACTAAAGGTGCGGTGGCTAGTACCCCACCGGTGCCGGTGACCCGCAGTTGATTCGACAGCAATATAACGTCGGGTCCTGCAGATTTAAGGTGATTTTGAATCAGTCTGCTAGCTGCTCTCTGCCAGACTTACCCATATGCGCAGCGTCCAAGTGGATTTCGGGCTCTCGGTGACGATTTGCCGCCATTGTGGGCTTACGCAGCTGCCCGCCATTAAGGCAGGTGCGTAGGCAGCAAAACATAATGAGGCCGAAAATTTGGAATGTCTTGGGATTGTGAAGAATTCGCTAGGCTTTGATTTTTCGTCCTAGTCGCGTTGTCTAATCTCCTTCTTCTGGTTTGTGGCCTTCGCTGTGTTCGCAAAACAGCTGTTCATTTGCCTCGCCAGAAGAATCCGCTATGCGCAGTGACGCCATCTTGTTGCAGCACAATGAGCGCTAGGTGGCGTTTATATAAATTTTGCGGTAAATTTTGAAAAGTATCTGTAAGATATATTTGCCATTTGAGAATATGTTGAAAAATATCAAGTTGCGAAATATAGGTTGATTTGTAAATGCCCGAATTATCATCTGAAGAGCAACACAAGTTTTTACAAACTCTCTCTCGGATCAGAAAATACTAATAACATGCATCTTTTTTATAAAGTATATCTATAGGATTCACCAATTTAAATAGAGAGCTAAATAAGTTAATTTACTATTTTTAATAGTAATATTTAGTAATATTTAATATTTTTACTATTTATTATTGATGTAATCGTTTATTATTCATTAAATTCGCATTCAGAACTCTATTTTCGGTAGATTTATAATTCAATTACATTTGTCATAGTTAGCGACAAGTTTGCGATATAGGCCGGCTATTGTTGAGCTCTTGTGGCAAACAGTGCCTCCACCGCGTTTTAGTTGAGTCTGCTGGCGATTAATGTCTCCAACACAGGTCCAATCCGTCCCACCAATACGCCAACGATGCACCTTTATGCCCTTCTCTTCCGAGACGGCCCATTTGGAGTGATCGTGTGTGGTCTTGAAGTCCACAGAAAGCTCTGGACTTGAAATTTCCTCCACATTGTAGACTTTGTCGGAGGCACTGCAACTGTTGGGCAAATTTCCAGCACCATCCCGCCAAGCCTCCACGAAAAGATTCACATCCAACGCCGGGGCCACAACATCTGCATAGAGCTCCACATTGGCACGAGGACTCTTGCCAAATACACGAAACTCTTTGCCTCCCAAGGTCTGCAGCTCGATATCCTTCTGATATGGTTCCTGTGTGCGCCATTGATGGCGGAGAGCTCGTTCCAGGCTGGGGAACTGCTCATCGGCCGTGTGGTGGAAGGGATTGCGTTCGTAATAGAAGTGCGGCTCATTATAGACCAGTATCTCTCCCACTTTCTCCACACCCGCCGCATCAAGTGTTAGGCAAAGAAAACTTTGCGCATACTGTTCGCCACTTGTGGGATAACTGTACTCGGGTATTGTGGGAAACTTGGGCACCGAATGGACCAGCCATACACCTGTCTGTCCATCAGTCGCCACTACACCCTTCGCATGACCACCCGTCACGGAAACGGTGCCATTGGGGAATTCGTCATTGTAGGCGGCCAGTAGAACGTTACGCTCGTCGCGGAAGAGGGGGCTCAGAGTGCGGGCTGTTAGGGAGTCGGGATCTCCAATGCGTCGCCCGGATAGCTGCCAGTTGTCATAGCTGCCGCTGGTCACATAAAGGTAGCGCAAACCCGAAATATCCTGTCCACCTGCACCGCTGGCCAAATTAAAGTGCTTGGGCAGCTTATAAATGTACCACCTGAAAAAAGGAAGGCAAACCACAAATAATCGCAGAGTTTGTTCAGATGTCGAAGCTTGTAGCTGAATTATAAACAAGCAGCAACTCATACATTGATAGAGCGGAGAAGACGAACGTATCATTAAAACAATCGACCGATTTGGAATACCTATCTGGGAATAGACAAACTACAGTATGCGACTATAATTAACTTCAAAACTTTCAACTTGAAATATTCTAGTCAGTTCTTCCAGAGATTGAGTTCCATTTCACCTTCACAATCTTTAGCTTCATGCGATTTATATTATAGTTTAATGTTGGGTCTTTGTTTGGACTTATTTATAGACCTTTCTCAGTCTCTTCTGCCTCCCACCTCTTCTCTTGTTAAGAAACAAACTGATAACACATTTGGGTCCACTTCAAATAGTTGCCCCTCCCTAATATATACTATAACTTACCAATCTACATCATTGCCTTGCTCATCCTTGCAGGACACCTTGTTGGCGGACTGTGCTTGAGCTCCTCCAACAGCTAGCAAGATGGGAAAAATGAAGATCCAGCGCATTATACAACTGTTGCCTCTCTCGGCCGCACTTCAACTGTTTCGAGTGCGTACTTTGCTCATTAGGCGTTGTCGCAGCATCGCTAGAGCATACAGGGTGTCTAAAACCGACTTAAATACTCTTGCCATTGATGTACAGGTAGACAATCAAAGCCTCAGGTAGCGACTGACACAGACACTCTCTACTGTGTGTAGGGTTTGGTTCTAATGCGAGGGTAAATATTTGTAAGAGAGACCCGTTTTTGCACGCCGAGCTCAGGTTTCACATTGTTAATCAGCTTCAAGTAAGATCTCAAATATATGTGTATAAGTACACATAATATATATGAACGAGGAAAGGTATATATATACGCAGTATAGCTGATTAGCAAACAATTTTGTTGAACTGTTTTTCACGTAGAAGCTACGGAATTTTTAGAGTCCCAGTTTTTGGCTTTATTGAATACATAAATCCAGATGGAAATACTTGTGTCTATCCTTTCGATTGAATTCAAGTTAAATTTCTCTTCTTAAAGTGACGCACATTTTAAAATGTATAGAAATTTCGAGCCGCCTTTTTGTTATCAGTGCAGTTTTCTCTCATGCTGTAAGCGCTTCAACCGACCCTCGTAGTCGCAATTAATAATAAAATATAGCACATCGCTCATCCGATTTCAGGAAAGCCATGAACGTTGGCGAGGGGAGAGGAGGGGAGGGGTTTTCAAACAGAATAAAAGAAACGCTTTGCTTGTTACAATTACACAAAACAATTGTTAAAGTTTTTATTTATTATTTGTATTGTTATTATTATTATTTGTTGTTGTTCTTGTTGTGGTTGTTATTATTGCACCCGCCCTGCCCAAACGGCCAACCCTACGGGCCTCTTGTAAGTACTATATAAAGTGGCGCCTACGCTGTGCTGCGCTGCCTGCTGCGACGCCTACTGCGCTGCTTCTCTGCGGCAAATATTATCAAATGTTGTATTAAATTTATTTGTTTTTGTTTGTATTTTTTTTGGAATTTTTTTCATATGTTTTATTTGTTGTTGTAGTACAATAATAAGTTGTGTCTGATATTATGTAATTGAAATAATTTTGCGTGTTTAATATTTCACTTGTTGTTCGCTGGTTGTTGTTGTTGTTGTTCCTTACATTCGTAATGATCTGAAATATATTCACGACTTCTATTTGTTTTTGTTTTTTGTTTGTTTTTGACGCTTCGTCTGCGTTATTGTTAATTAATTTGCTTTTTTTTTCTTTAGTGTTCAGCTGGTCTTGGTTTTCTAAAATGCCAATCTCTTGTTGTTGGTGTTGTGGTTTTTGTTGTTCTTTGCTATAGCTTTACCGTAAATTTTTTGTTTCGTATGCAACAATACATTTAAACTCACAATACAATATTTTCGCTAAATATTTATGTATTAATTGTTTTTTGTTTTTTTTTTTTTGGTTGTTTTCATTTACTTTTCTTTTATAATATAGCAGTTAATAATTTATTAATATATTGTATGTTTTTGTTTGTTTTGTTTTTTCTTTTCCCAAATATATATAAAGAACAAGGCTGATATTTATATTATATATATGTATATATATATCTATAGATGTATATATATATACGTTTTGTTTCCGTTTCATAATAAGTTCATAATAATATTTAGCTATTTTTTTCTTAGCTTGCGCTCTTTTTTTTGTTGTTGTTGAAAATCAATTTTTTTTTACAATATTAGCAAAACTTGTTCAATTTGTTTGAAAATGAAACGTTCGTTAAAACATTTTGTGTTCGAATAAATGAGCCTCAAAATACATATTTGCAATTTGTTGTAGTTTGCTTAAAATTGTTGCTTTTATTGATTTAATTAGCTTGTTAATTGTAATGATAAAAGTTTCCTCAAAACGTTACGCAAATAAACGCCACAACACGCCCATTTCGTCACTTCGAGAGCGCTTTAAATATGCTGTTAAAAATTACATTTTTATATTTGGTTTTACTTTCATTATTCATATAATTTCTATGCTGAAAATTGCTGCGCATAATTTGTTGCTGCTTTCATATAATTAAATATAATACATACTATATTTTCTTGTTTAATCGGGCACGAGTTTGATATGTTTTGAATTTTTTCATTAATCATTTCACGACGCCTACACATCCTTCGCATCCTCCTCCTATCCATTGATATTGCCAATAATAAATATCAATTTTCACTACTTATATGGCTATATAGATGTCTGCATTTATGTGTGTGTACATATATATATATTTCATAATGCCAACTTGCTTTTCCTTGTCTGTGAAATGTTATAAACAAATTTACAGCATGTCTATTTACTTTTTAGTACGCATCTGTAGTTGTAGTTTTTCTCGACTTATCTTAATATACACACATATATACCGATCTCCGACTGCTCAATGCTTATGTGTACTTGTATATATGTGTATGTGTATATTATATATATATGCATGTATATATGTATTTGTATAAGTTTGCAAAAATTTTCACTAATTTAAAATTCGTTTCTTTAAGGTTTATGCGTACTTTTGCCTTTCATCGTGACCTCATTGTTGTATAAGTTGGAAATGGAAATGAAATTGAAAAAGAAAAGAAGTGTTCTTGTGGGACTTTTGTTTAACGAACAAATTACATTTATTAATACATTCAATTGAAAATGCTAGAGTAAACGCTACACATAAAACGCAACTAAATAATGTGGGGCACATAAGTATATAAATTACTTAAACATTAGTAATAAAATGTTTCATAAGTTTTTTTTTAATTTAGTTTAATAAGGGGTAGGCAAACATAAGGCAATCAAAGTTGGATGAAAAAATGTACATCAAAACGTAAAAAACGTATGTTAGTAGAAATACAACGCTTCTCTATATATTTATAAATATTTACTCGTATGTATATGTAGGTTTATGGGAAGAGTCCAAATGAAGCAGACCCATAAAGGTGACAAGTGTGGGATTAGAAATGAACAAATATTAAAGAATTTGCACACACATTCATCTGCGAGCTCTACAATTTGTTTCATTCAAGTTCCGAATCTTTTCACATAATCGTTAACTCGTCAATTTCATATTTCTGTTTCATTTGAACTCTTCCTATGTGTATATATATATATATATATATATATATATATATATATATATATATATATATATATATATATATATATATATATAGTATATATGCCAGTACTTAGTATGCATATACTATGTATTTTTGTAATGTATAATACTCTATAACTATGCAATTTATAACTAATTGCCCCAAATATGGGCTGCTTGCTGTCTTTTCATTGTTATTAGAATTGTTCAAATATGATTTTTTGTTGTTGTTGTTTTTTTTTTGTTTTTGGTAACTGCTTTGCCTTTTTTACGCTTACATCTTTAAAAATTCAGAAAACCACTTCAAAACATATCGCCTAATATTTTGCATTGTTGTAAAATGTATCCTCATCGTTTGCTTTATCGTAAAACTCTTCCTTTTGCTGATATGTATCTGTTGTTGTTGTTGTAGTGTTTGTTTCAAAAATGTATTTATATATATATGTTGTATGTATAATATATATTCATATAATGTTCCCATAATTCATATTGTTTAGTTTAGTTTTTAGTTTATTCATCGTTTATAAACTAATTTTCCATTTACTTAATGCCTTAGATATTCGCAATGCAAGTCCTTGCACTCCTTGCTCTCTAAGTATGTATAGTATGTATTTAAAATGTATGTATGTGTATGAGTTGGGCAAAAAAAGGCGCACTTTAAAGTATACGAAATGTAGATCTAATGGATAAAACACGCATGAATAATGTGAATACATAAGCGCAACGGCAGTTATACTTATATAGTATCTGTTGTATGTTGGGTCTAGGATAGACCACGCCTCTTTTCTTTGTCTTTGTCAGTGCACGGCATGTTGTCTTTTAAGCTATGTTTTCACCATATTTGAAGCAAATACGAGTACTGTATGCGATGATTATAAAAAATGTGTTTGTGTTTGAACTCAATCGAAATTATTGAAATTTTGAAATACAGCTTATGCTCTGAATGGTTTGTTTTGTTGCGATTTGGAAATGCGAGCGCGTCGGTTGTTTCTTTTCTGTGTTGTTATATTATGTATTTATATTTCGAAATTGCACGAATTTCTCGCACACACACACACACGCACACACATACGCGCGCATGTCTTACAGTCAAAGCTTATGATGGGAACTTAATTGTTATGCATTTTCATTGCTTTTCTTTTGTTGCATCATTTGCACAGAAACGATGTTGTGCCACCCCTCAATGCTTCCCAACCCTTAGCGCTAAAAATTAGTTTCGAAAATATTTGTTAGGCATAGCTTCTATATATTTTTCGTTTTTGGTAAATTGTATATTTAATAATTGTTATATTATGTATATTATTTACTCTTAGCTTTAGTTGTAAATATTTTTGTTTTGTAGTTGTTTAAAAGGCGCAATTTAATGATATGCATTAGTACAATATAATTTGTCTTTTACTTTATTCTTAGACCTTTTACTAACACTAACACCTTGCTGTATTCGCCGCTGCGCGCATGTGTGTGCAGTTCACTAAATTTATTTAATTTATTGATAATGTTTTATTGCTGAGAAAGAGCGACCAACGCGCCATCTCGTATTGTGTATGCATGTATGCATGTATGTATGATGGATGAGGCAGAAAGTAGGCAAGAGAAGAGCAGAGAACAGAATTGAAAGTAAGAAATGTAATTGGACGGAATATGCTTTTACATTTGACTAAAGTTAAGAGAAATGATATTATCATATAAAACTACATATACTTGTAGTATTTAAAATAGAAAAAAATGATTTAAGGGCAATGCTATTTACCAATTATTATTGCTATTTATAACATATAGTTTTCATGAAAGAGGGTCAGGGGCCTCACGAAATGGTTAAGCATGGACAAACAGTCCGTAAATGATTAACAACTCTGAAGATATTAGATTAAACGAACCATTTACTAAGACAATGTTTCCCTCAACAGCTGAAGACTGTTTCACGTCCAGCATA